CTTACTGTGTGCCACTAAGTGATAGTGCTTACTGTGTACCAATAAGTCATATTAAGTGCTTACTGTGTGCTTCCTAAGGATACAATGAAAGGCAAAAGACAATCCTTGCTCTCAAGGAGCTCACAATCTAATGTATTCCATTTCCTAAAAGCACACTGCTAGCTCACTTACGAGAGGGAGACAAGATACAAACAGCGGTGTACAAATAAGATATATCGAGGATAAATTGGAGATAAGCAACCGAGGGAAAGCACTAGAATTAAAAGGGATCAGGAAAGGGTTCTTGTGGAAAGTGGCAATTTAGCTGGGACTTGAAGGAAAACAGGGAAGCCAAGAGGCAGAGAGGAGGAGGAAGAGAATTCCAGGCATGAGGGACAGCCAGTGGGGGGGAAATGCCCAGAATCAGGAGATGACAATATTTTGATTGAAGAACAGGATGGAAGCCAGTGCCGCTGGATTGAGAAGTATGGATAAGTGCAGCCAGGTTGGCAGCATCCCTGAGACCAAGGACCCTGGGGGCTGCCCCTTGTTTGTGCACTATCCTGTGCCCCAGGTGTTGCCAGCTGATGGAATCCTCTGTAACTAGAAGCCAAGAAAACAACTGCTTCCTGGCACTCCCCACACTTGGGATAAGCCCTCCCCAACCAGACCAAGAAAGCTCAGAATAGCATAGGGCCTCAGAGGAAGGGTTGGCCTTACACAAAAGTAGAGTGAGTGAGTGAGTGCCCACAGCAACCATCATGGTATGATTCGAGGGGCAGAAATTGGTGAGATTCTCATCATTAACATCACTCCTTAGGACAAGACCTTTACTAATCGGATAACACACCAGCGAGGATTCCAATCCGATGGCAATGGATATAGAGTCAGAAGAGCTGAGTTCAAATCTAAGGTCTGATTAGCATGACCTCGAGCAAATCACCCTTTAGTCCTTTCAGCTAAGAGGTTGACATGACTAAGGAGGATCAGTGATGAAAGAATGCTACCCATCTCCTGACAGAGAGAGAATGGGCTAATATGCACAATAAGACACAATTTTAGATACTGCCAATACGGGAATTTGGTTTTGCTTAACTGTAGTTTGTTACAAGGGTTTTGTTTTTTCTTTTAATTTTTTCCCAGTGGGGAAAGGGGTAGTGGCAGAGAAAAAAACAAATGCTTGGTCATTGAAAAACTTTTTAAAATTTCATTAATAAAAAACTAAGAGGTTGGACTCACTGATTTCTAAGGTTCCTTCCAGGTCTTTCGATCCTATGATTTGCCCTTGACCCCAAGAGAGAATAAGGTCCTGAGGGATGTGGCTAGAAAAATGGTAATTAGAATAGGAAAGGTAAATTATGATGGGGAAGGGGCACAGAAATACTACAAAAATTGTGTTTCTTGGATGTCCTCCTTGGGGGACACACAGGAAGGATTGGTTTCACACACAGGCAGAGTGAGTGACTGCCCACAACAACCGTCATAGTATGATTTGGGGGATGGAAAGAGCCGAGATTCTCACCACTAACATCACCCGTTTATTGGCTGGATAAGACATTGACAGGGATTCCTTCCTGTTGTATTATTTATGACAACCATTTGGGGAAGGGAAAGGAAATTTGCTTCCCAACCCAGAGAAAGGACACTCTGCCTGTAGAGTAATTAGCAGTACTGGCCGCAGGGAAAAAATCTTGCTGGGATAGTGGGAAGAAGCCTTCTCTTCCCCCCATGAAGGGACTCACAGGGGTAGCCATGGTTCTTAGAGCTGTAGGGCATAACTTGAGGTTTTAGGATAGAGGGAGGAGGTGTCAAGAATTTATCTTCTGACCAGGAACATTCCAGCCCCTTGATCTAGAACAGAACCTCAGGTTTCAGTAGGTAACAGCAGTCTTTAATGAAGTCAAAAAGAAAACAAATAATAAATAACCTGAAATGACACCGGACTGATAGTGACCTTCTCTCTTCCTCCCCTTCCCGCTCCAACCACAAATGATTTTACCTAGGCAGCCTGTCCCTCAGAAGTCATTTCCACTGTTGGAGATTGTGGGGGTAAGGAGGGAGGAACGCTAATCTAGGGGCTTGAAGGCCTGAGTTCTATCTGTTTCTTGAGGTCCATAGGCAAGAAGAAAGGATAGAAAGGGGTTAGGGAGGGGTGCAGAATGAATGAGATAATTCAAGGGAAAGGATGAGATAATCCTAAGAGCTTATAGTTAGTTAACCCTAGGACAAGGGGGAGTGGGGAGGGACAGATAGTCTGAGTACCCTATGAGCTGTAGACATTGGGGTTCCTTGAATCGTTCATCTCCCACTCACTGCCACCCCTTGAACTGTTTTCTGAAGCCTAAGGAACAAAGGTGCCAGGGAAAAGCAGGGTACTCCTCCTAAGTCATCCTCTCTTCAGTAGGTGGTAAGGAGGGAAGGGTACCCGATCCTCCTATCCCGGGAAGAATCCTTAGTCTGAAACAGTTCCAGGCCAGGAAAAACTCAGGACAATGTAAGGGTATGGATTCTGGGTTCACGTAGCAGGGAATATCTATCCAGAGCCCAGAGTTACCCTGGAATTATGGGTTTGGTCCTCATGTTGATAGAGTTGGAAAGAGTAACCCTGGATTTTCCTTGAGAATCGACAACAATAGAGGTGAAGTAATTTGGATAAGGGGCAAGGACAAATAAGAGCACTTAAGATTAACACCAGTATGATTAACAAACCATCACAGAGGCCGGCTCTTCTGAGAGGTTCCAAGATCTGACCAGGTCAGAAATGTTCTTTTTCCCAGTCCTGACCAGTGCTGTCTGACTCCTAGGGGACTGTCCTAAAACAGAACCCCACCCTCCTGTCTCCTGACCTTTGTCCGAGACAGTTGGATGTCAGAAACTGTAGATGGGGCTAAAGAACAGGGGTCACAGCCAGGCCCCCAGAGCAGCCCCAATTCCCTCTAGCTAGTATGTACTCTGGACTCCCTTTATGATAAGGGAACACGGGCAGGTGAGACAACACAGTGAGACAACAGGGTTTGAGGCATACTCCCTAGCTGGAGCCCTGCCCTCATCCCAGAATGGGAGGGGAGATCTTTAGACTTTAGAGATGGCTATCTAGCCGGGAAGAAGCCTCGGTTGGCTGAGATGCCTCCTCTGAAGGTTCCTCCACAGCACTGGGAGTCTCCAGTTTCTTTTCATGGATGTCTTGGGGGAAACTGAGGCAGCACCTCACTGCCTCCTTCACCTTGGCCTCCAGGCCCCTCATCCGTTCCTCATATTCAGACAATGCCTCTTGCTGGAACTGTAGGGATGACATAGAGCAGAGACCAGATCAGAGAGAAGGAGGGATCAGTTGCTCCTACTCTACACCTGCCTGGCTTCCCACCTCCCTATCTCCTTGAGCTCTAACAATGGAAAAAGGCAAGTCTCAGCATGTTATGGCCTCCCACAGGAGGAAAGGATGCGCCAACTACCATGGCCTTTGGGAAGGCCTATGGGAAGAGGGGAATTGAATCATCTTCCTATTGGCCCCCGGATCTAGAACAGAATCAGTAGATAATAGATGTCTTGAATGGAGTCAAAAAGAAGACATAATAGAGAAGATTTCAGAGAATGGATGCAGAGGAAAGGAAGGAGAAGCAAGAGAACAGTATACCCAATGACCAAAATGGTATCAGGAAAACCGCACTGAAGGAATTATTGGTATAATGACCAGTCTTGACCTCTGAGGGCTAATGATGAAGTGGGGGACTACAGGTGTGGAATGGGGGCATATCCTCTCAGATAAGAGCACTGTGTTAATTTGGTTTGCTTAACTGTACTCCCTTGTTCTAAGAGAGGGTTCTACTGAGGGAGAGCGGGCGTGGGGAGATTACCCCAATGTAAAAAAATGTTTTAAAGTTTACTAGTGGCTATAATCTAGTTGATGTGAAACTGTGAAACTACCCCACTGTCTCCTGCCTGATCAGACCCCCAAAGCCCAGGACCCCATTCACTTGTCCCCGGGTGCCCTGAGACAAGGCTCTCCCAGGATACCTGAGTTAAACCTGCCATAGTTAAAATAGTTAAAGCCTCCAGGGAAAGGGGAGGAGTGGAGCCAAGGGTAGAGCCTTCACCTTCTTCTCCTTCTCCCGGATCTGCTCCAGGCAGGCTGCCTGCTTTTCTTCCAGCCTCTCCTGGTGTCTCTCCAGGGTTTCTGTCATCTAGGCAGAAAGAGGGGCCCCCCCCGAGGAGACCGAAGGAAGTCTCAACAGGATCCATTTGTGTTTCCTTCTCCTCCAATCTCCATCCTCCTAACTCCCTGGTCTCAGGGAGGTTTCTACTTTCTAACCTGCTTCATATGCTCCTCCTCACCCACCCAGGAGAGCTGTCCAGAAAACAGACTGGTTGCCACAACCTCTTTGGCCCAAGCCAATAGAATAACCAGGCCCAGAACAAGGGCAGATTCTGAGTATATCTCTCCTACAGATGTCAAAGGCACCTGGAGAAGGGAGAAGCGAGGTGCAGGTCTAAACTGATGTCTAAATGACTCCTAGACATAATCTCTCTCTCCATCCTTCCAGCTAGGAGAGGGGGGAAGCTTGTGCCTATCGGGGGCAGAGCGGGGCAGGGTTTTACAGGAGACTACTTACCTGTTTGATGATGTGAACCACTTCCTGTATATGTGAGTTGTTAATCTCTCTCTTCAGCCTAGGAAAAGGGACGGGTGGGAAAAGTAAACAGAAAGTCCCCATGGGTGAAGGAGGTCCTGCTCGGGTGAGTCTGAGCGTGCTTGGGGAAGGGAAACACCCACAGGATCAACAGGATGGGCAAAGATCAGACCAAGGGGTCTGGTGTCAGTGCTAGAGGAAGGAAGACCTGTGTATGGGGGCTAGGAACCCTGCTTCCTCCCCCCTCACCTCTCCTGGGCCATCTTGTCACTGGTGATCTTGCTCATGGCCTGAATCCGTTCAAGCCTCTTGACTTCAAGCTTCTTCTTCATCTCTTTGGTGTTGCTGCCAGAAGAGAGAAGTGGGTGGTAGAATTAAGCTGAGGCCTTAGGACCTTGAGAGGCAACATATAGCCATGTTGGACTTGGAGTCAGGACGACCTGGGTTGGACCTGGGCTCCAACCCAGGTCATCCTGACTCCAAGTCCTGCTTCAGATACTTACTATCTATATGACCCTGGACAAGTCACATAACCACTCTGTGCCTCAGTTTCCTTATCTGTAAAATGAGGGAATTGGATTTGATCTCCAAGGGTCCCTAAATCTATAAGCCAAATGAATCTATTTGGCTGCCTAGAAAGGGGAAAGGTGCTAGCCCGTAGTGTCTCCACCTTATGCTCCCCTCCATACCTTTCTGCAGATTCCTTGAGAGCCTTTAGCTCAGCTGCTTGTCTCTCCTGGGCCAACTCCATCACCTTGGCGATTTGCTAGTGTTGGGGAGAAGGGTGAGAGGGGAGAGCTTAGAGGAAAGACCTTTTTACTGACCCTCACTGTCCTTAACTACCTTCTGGGGAGGGATGGAAAGGGAAATGACAGAGGATCATCTCAGACAAGGGATTTAGCAGAGACCCTCTTATGCCAGGGAGAGAGCACTGTATTGGGAGTCAGAGGGCAGGGGTTCGAATCTCCACTATCTGCGTGGCCTTGGTCAAGTCACTTCATTTCTGTAGGCCTCAGTTTCCTCATCTGTAAAATGAGGGTTTGAGTTAGAGCAGGGATTCTTTATCTTCTCTGTATCATGGAACCCTTTGGCAGTCTAGAGAAAACTATGAACCCCTTCTTAGAATAAGATTTTTAAATGTATAAAATAAAATACATAGGATTACAAAGGAAGTCAATTATATTGAAATACAGCAGTCAAAATATCAAAAAAAAAGTTTAAAGTCCAGGTTAAGAACTCTAGACTAGCTAACCTCTGAGATGGAAGACATCTTCAAGTCTATGCTTTTATGCTGGGAGTTGACATCTGGATGTTACTCCCACCTCTGGACTACAATGTTCTCCCTGATTTGGGGGAGGAGGAGGGATGGGCATAGACCCTCTATTCCCTAGCACATTGGCCCAGTGGGTGCCATGCCGTAAAGTGACCTTCAACAAGAGGACCTCCAATACCAGGTTTTGGTTTCCCAGGATTCCTGGTGCACGTACCTCCATGCCATGCTGTTCCTTGCGTTTCATGATGCTTTCATACTGCTCCTCCCCTTGCTGGTACAATTCTGTCTCCAGCTTTTCCTTCAGCTCTTGAACACGCCCATCTGTGCTTTCTGGGCCCTCGACTCGCCCCGGCCCAGCCCCACTGGTCTCCTCCCAAGGCAAGTTCCTACAATGTCCAAAGGGATGCACTGAGGACCCCTGTTCCAAGCCCCCATGCAGTGCCCTAAGGCCCAAAGGAAATCCTGCCTACAACAAGGGGCATAGAGACGAGTGTCACTGAATTCCTCCATCACTCTCTTTCTTCTTCCAGTCCCTGGGTAGAAATGCTCAACATCCCCAAGCCAGATGATGGCCACCTCTGTGCTTTTCTCCCTTCTGGGTCATGGGGGTGATGGCACTGCAGCCCAGGGGTCCAAGGCAGAGGGGTTCACCAGCCTCCTCTATTTGGATACAGGGATGTAAGAAGTGGGGGCAGGGAACCAGGGAGCAGGGACAAGGTCCACCCCCAACCATTACCTCTTCTTCCGGGATCCCTTTGTGACAGACAACTTCCTGCATCCACTGTGGGGGGTCAGTTCTGCCCGTAGGCTGGCATACTTTTGCAGGAGTTCCTCCCAGCGCCGGGCTCCCCGCCTCTCCAGTTCTCGAAGTTCCTTTTCCTGTCTCTTCTGAAGTTTCAGGAACCCTTTCAACTGCTGCAGCTCCTCCAGGCTGGCTGTCTGAGGTTCTGTGGAACCCAGACGGGATGGGTGGGAGGTATGAGAGGGGAGACATATAATTTGTTACAACACATAAGGGAATAGAGGGGTCTTTTTTGCTCCTCGGTGGGAATACCTTCTGCTTAGCATTTTAAGAAGGAAGGAGGGCAGCTAGGTGGCACAGTGCATAGAGCTCCAGCCTTGGAGTCAGGAGGACCTGAGTTCAAATCTGGCCTCAGACACTTGACACTTAACTAGCTGTGTGACCCTGGGCAAGTCACTCAACCCCAATTGCCTCACCAAAAAAAAAAAAAAAAAAAAAAAGCAAAAATAAATAAATAAATAAAATAAAAAAATAAAAATAGAGTTTAGGGGGCAGCTAGGTGGTACAGTGGATAGAGCACCGGCCCTGGATTCAGGAGGACCTGAGTTCAAATCCCGCCTCAGACACATAACACTTACTAGCTGTGTGACCCTGGGCAAGTCACTTAACCCCCATTGCCCAACCAAAAACAAAACAAAAAAAGAAATAATAAAGAAGGAAGGAAAGGAAGAAAGAAGGAAGGGAGGAAGAAAGGAAGGAAGGAAGGGAAGAAGGAAAGGAGAAAGGAAGGAAGGAAGGGAGTTAAGAAATAAGCTCTGATTAAGCACCTACTGTGTGCCAAGTACTAAGCACCAACAAGATGAGGCACCTTACAATTATCTTATTTTGTCCTCACAAAAATCTTGGGAGGAAGGTGCTATTATTATCCCCATCTTACAGTTGAGGAAACTGAGGCAAACAGAAATTAAGTCACTTGTCTAGGGTCACACAGCTACTGATATCTGACACCAGATTTTAACTCTGGTCTTCTTGACTCCAGGCCCAGTTCTCCATTCACTGCACCACCTAGCTGCCCCAGAGACTTCATTCAGTAAAGGCAGAGATGGCATGATTAATAGATATGCAAATGATACAAAGCCGAGAGGGAAAGCTAACATACTGAATGAAAGCATCAGGATTCAAGTGATCTGGACAGACTAGAACCTTGAGCTGAAGATGAAATTCAATAGGGATAAATGTAAAGTCTGACACTTTTGATTTAAAAAATCAGTCTCATAAGTTCAAGAAGAGAAGAAAATATTGCTAGGAAGCAATTTGTTTGAAAAAGATCTGGGAGTTTTAGGGGGCTGCAAGCTCAACATGAATCAACAAGAAAGCTCCTATTCTGTTAGGCTATAGTGAAAGGCAAAGATCCAAGGATAAGGAGGTGATGGTTCCATTGTCCTCAGCCCCCGTTAGACTAGAAATACAGAAATAATGTGTTCACTTCTTAATGTCTCATTTCAGGCAGGACTTTGATAGGCTGAAGAGCATCCCTGAGAAGGCAACCATGATGGTAAAAGGCCTCAAGATTATATTATTTAAGGATCAGTTGAAGGAACTGGGGATGTTCATTCCTTAGAAAGAAGGACTTGGGAAGGAGAGGAGAGGAAGGGAGGGAATAGAGAAGGCAGAGGCTTTCACATATTCAAGGAATGCTACATGGAAGAGAGATTCGCTTCAATCTTCTTGGCCCCAGAGAGCTGAACCAGGAGCAATGGGTAGGGGTTACAGAGAGACAGATAGAGGGATGATGTAAGCTTAACACTTCCTAAGAAGTGGAGCAGTCCTAAAGTAGAATGAGCTGCCTAGGATGTGGAGGATTCCACCTGGGGTGTGCTGGAGCCAGCTTGACCTGGCCCTGGTGAGCCAATTGTTACATTCTCAGTGCAAGCATTAGAAATTGCCAAATGATACAAATGAGCACTCGGTCTGTTTTGTTGATTGTGCAGACTGAAGAAAGTGATAAAAAAATATTAATAATGAAGATTTAACTCAAAAGTGCCATATACATTTTCTTTTTTTGGAAGAACAATTAACCATTTAAACCATTAAATATTTACCAGCTCACCACTGATCTTTCTCTCTCTCACACACGCACACACACACACACACACACACACACATCTTCTAGATGACTATGTGTCAGGAACACTGTAGGGGCAATTTAGGTATGGGTTGGACTAGGTGATTATTGAGACCCATTCCTACTGGGAGTTTGTTTCTATGTGACTTTGGTATTTTATAGCCTTTTTTTTTTCTTGTAAACTTGTGGCCTGGGTTATGCAATTCCCTCCCCTAATGGACAGAAGAGGCTATGAGTGAGTGAATGTGAAGCAGAATTGTGGACTCATTCTAGGGAGTCAAGGTTGCTCCGCAGAAATCCTTTGAAACCAAGCATCCCCAGTGGAATTGATCATATTGACTTACTATAAGCTGAGTAAGATAGGAATGAGGCAGAAAGAGGAGGTAGATTTTCCCTGGGAGAGGAAGAGAAGGGAAATCAGTATATCTGGCAGGTTAAAAACAAACACAGCCATGCAGGGAAGAGACAGATGGACAAGCTTAGAAAGGTAAGTGTCTACTTCAGAGGCAAGGTGGTACCCTGGACACGCATTCAGATGACCTGAGCCCTGCCTCAGACACTTACCAGACATCAGACCTTGACCTCTCTGGGACTCAGTTTTCTAATCCATGAAATGCTTAGTCTAAACTAACTGATCTCTAAGGTTCCTTACAGCTTTATTGTTCTATGGATTGGACCACTTAAGAGTTGCTGCGGACTCAGCTTGGGAACTAGAATTTCAGAGTTGGCTGGGACCTCAGTGCCATCTAGGCCATTCCATTCCTGAAAGGAATTTCCTCACCACTTTCTAACTATAGCATACCTGATAAGTGGTCAGGATAGATAATGGAAGGAGGGAGTTGATCCCTACTCCCCACCCTGTCCCACCCCAGCCCTCATCATAACTGACGTAGTCACAGAAAGCAAAGAGCAGATAACAGAGGTAATGGTGTGTTAATGTGTAAACAATGGAGCCTTCTGGTCTCCACTGAATAGATTTCTTCTGTTTATGGACTTGAAATCATATGGATTCCTTCCAAAATGATACCTCTCCCCTTGTAAATAAAAATCCTAATCTAAATTCTGTATGGCTTGCATGTAGCAAGGGAAAGAGATGTGACGATGGAAGCTAAGGCTATCTCCCGTTGGTAGCGTTTGGTATGGGCATCCTTACACCTCTAACAAGTGGGATTTGGAACTTCACATAGTGGGGATGACCCCTCAAAGGGGGGAAGGCTGGGGAACTTAGGGGTAAATTGATAATATGATGTCAAACTTAAAGTGGTATATAAATCTCAATTATTATTATTACTAGTATTCTTTCAGATTCCTCACAAAGCCCTAGCCTGAACCCACCTTTTCCTTGCTAGGGCTATCTCATTCCCCTCATCCAAGGACATTAACTTCCCTCTTTGGGAAGATCTGGAATCACTAGGAGCAAAGGGAAGGGGCAAAGCGGTCTTTAGAATGTCTCCTAAATCTCAGGTTTGACCCAGAGAGATTTATTAATCATATATTCAGAGTTAGGAGATACTTTAGAGGCCATCTAATCCAAAACCCCCCTTCCATTTTACATGTGAAGAAACCGAGGCCCACGGAGGTTAATGAATTTCCCAGGGTCACATCAGAGGTGTGATTTGAACCAGGCCCTTGCACTTTTCTCTAGGGGTGGGAAACTTGCTGCCTCGAGGTCACAGGTGGCCCTCTGGGTCCTCAAGTGTGGTCCTTTGACTGGGTCCAAGTTTTACAGAACAAATCCTTTTATTAAGGGGATTTATCCTGTGAAGTTAGGATTCAGTCAAAGGGTCACACTTGAGGACCTAGAGGAGATTTGTTCTGTGAAGTTAGGATTCAGTCAAAGGGCCACACTTGAGGACCTAGAGGGCCACATGTGGCTTCGAGGCTGCAGGATGCCCACCCTGGTGTCTAGACCAAGTTGCCCCTGACCCAGAGATCTAGCCTCGAATCCCTCTCTGCATACAGAAGGCCTGGCTTACCTGCCACCTCTTTCATTGCTTCTTCCTTGAACCAGGTCACAGCTGCTGTAAAAAACAAAGGAAGCTGACTTTGGAATTGTCCCGGCTCCCCTTTTTGGGAGAAGACTCAGGGGCTTCCTTGGGGCTGTGCATCTGACCTGACGCTTTACCAGGACTGGTGAGTCAGGTCCCAGAGGTTCCTTTCAGCAGTATTGGGGAGACAAATGTTGCAGACCCTCTCAAATCACCTAAATTCCCATGACCGAGCACACCGACCCCGTAGGTTCCCATTTATATGTTCAGGGGACTGGGACAAGTTTTTTTGTTTTATTTTTCCCCCTCAGAGACCATCTAAATCCCACTTACCAGGTAGGAGGGTATCTGGAGGGATAGTCACTGAACAAGCATTTATTAAATATCGAATTCAGGAAATCTTAACCTTTTTTATGTCATGGACCTTTTTGGCAGTCTAGTGGAGACTATGGGCCTCTCAGAATAATGTTTTCAAATGCATAAGATAAAATAGGATTACAAAAGGATTATGTTGAAATATAGTTATCAAAATATATTTTTTAAAAGTCAAGTTCACACACCTTAAGTTAAGAATCCTTGGTCTAATGTGTGCACTTCTATTGGGCACTCAAGAAGACAGAGAATTTAGATAAGACATGGTCCCCGCCTGAACAGGGCTAACAGGTTAGTAGAGGAATAACGAACAAACATAAAATACTATACAACATAGTATTGGATTCTGCATTGTAGAAATGCAGGAAAAAAAATGCTACACGGTGTCTAAGTGGAAAAGGACTTATAGGCCCCTGGGAATAAGGGAAGGCCTCATGGAAGAGGTAGCATTTGAGTTGGGCTTCAAAGCATGGGTAGGAACTCAATGGGCAAGAGAGGGCAAAGGTCAAGGAAGGGCATTCTAGGCATGGGAAATCACGTGAGCCAAGTCATGGAGGTGGGAAGGCACAGCATGTATTTGGGGGATAAGTGAGTAGTCCAATTCGGCTGAAGGATGTGGCATTCAGGATGAAGTAATATGAGACAAGGGGGACAGCAAAGCACCCCCAGACTGAAATCTGACTCAAATCCTGCCCACCTGGCCCTTAGTACCTGCAGGACCATTGGGTGATGGGGCCGTAGAGGAGCCTGCAGAGGTGAGGGCCCCATTGGCTTGGCCCAGAGCCGAGTTCCTTTGTGGCAAAGGCCTCTGTTATAGAGAGAGGACAGATCAGGATGATTAGCAGGGTCACAGGCACACTGGTGCTCCCTTTTCTCAGAAGCATGGTGCTGCTGTCCTTAGGAGTTCTCTACTCTTGGGAGGGAGATAAAGGGAAGGCTTCCACCAAGGAACCTCTCCCCATCTCCCAAGCCCCCATCAACTGCACCCCACCATGCAAGGGAACTCCTTTAGGGACTGACCGCTTCTCCATCCCAGGACAGCCAATGCCCTTCTGCCTCCTCCTACTCAATACCAAAGAGAACTCACCTCAGGTGGGTCATTTCCTGTGTCCTTCAGCTTTACTGACTTCTTGTCTTGTGCATTAAAGAATTTGATGGGGTTGGCAAGAGCCACAGTCAGATCTGTGGGCAGAGGGAGACGGTATGGGTCTATCACAAGGACAGGCTTGTGACCACGCCCTCCCATCTCTACTCTCCCTCACTCATTAGGGCCACCTCCCTCTGCTGCCCCGAGATACCCAGGAGTTGTCATCAGTCCCTGCCCTGGTTGGAGGGAGCTGGGACATAGAACATGATAGAGAGGTGGGGAGAGGGGGTGCTCTCTCCCCACAGGGAGGCAGCCAACCTCCCGCCCTGCTTTCATTCCTACAGTCCCCCAACTCTCCCCACCCATCGAGGTCCTGAGACTCCAGGGCTCCTACCTGCCCAGGTGTCAGGCACGTAATCTTTCATCTCCAGGAAAACAAAGAGAACAGGCATGGTCAGGGGCATGTTGCTCTCACTCCTGAGGCACAGGTGATGGTATCCTGCCAGGACACATGTGGGACCTTAGCCAAATGGCCTCTCATCCACCCTCTACACCTTAGTTTTGGTTCCCTGGCAGAGGCATAAGGCTCTTGCTTATATCAAGGTAGGCTTAATACTAGGCCTGGCACATCATAGGTGCTTAATCAATGTTTGTTGATTGATCTATTGGCCTGGGCAACCAGGATAGATTATTTAAGAGAAGCAGCATAGCATTGTGGAAAGAGTCCTACTACTGGAATCACAGGACCTGGATTCAAATCTTGCCTAATATCCTGGATTCAGTCAAAGGGCCATACTTGAGGACCTAGGGGGCCACATGTGGCCTCAAAGTTGAAGTGTGCCCACCCCAGAGTCTAGACCAAGCTACCCCTGACCCAGTGCTCCAGACTCAGTGTGCTTCAGTTTCCTCGTCTATACAATTAGGATGTTGGACAAGATGATCCATAAGGCCCCTTTTAACCATGATTCTTGGCCATTAAGACGTTCAGAGATTGTGTGGGTTAGATTCTAGAGATCCTAGATTAACCTTTTTTTGTGGATCATGGATCCCTTTGTTAGTCTGGTGAAGCCTACAGACTCCTCAAAATAATGCTTTTAAATAATTGAAGTAAATGTTAAAATTCAGTTAGAGACTGTTGGAAATAGAGATGTATCCTTTCTTATCCAAAATAATGAATCCCCTGAAATCTTCCATGTCTGTAGACTTTGGGTTAAGAACCCCTGGACTGGTGGAAAGAGTAGTAGACCCGCACAAAAAGGCCTGGGTTCAAGCCCCAGACCTGGATACATCATTCCAGGCAAGTCATTTAGCCTCATTTTTCTCATCTGCTAAAGCGTACCGCCACCACCTACTTCCCACGGTTGTTGTAAGGGGCTTTGTAAGCTTTAAAGAAGTGAGATAAATGTGAAACGTTATTCACTATTGTTGCTGAGAACCAGCATGGCATAGTGGATAAAGGGCCAACCTCAGAGCCAGCCTGGATCCAAGCCCCATCTCTGATATATTGTCTGCATGACCTTGGCCAAGTCTTCTCTGGGGCCGAGGCAACTGTGTAATGCTCTAAACTGCAAAAAAGGTACCAGTTGGCATTGGTAGAGGGGGTCTTCCTCATCTGAGAGTTCCCTACACCAATCAAATCTTACGTTAAGTCCCTATCCTTCTTATTGCTGTTACTCTAGATTAGACCAGGACATTGTTATTTCTTTCCCTTCTTTTCTAAGAGCTAGAAATGCTGGTTAATCTACAATCAGGCTCCTGGACAAATGCCCATCTGTCCTCTGAGACTGTCCAGCCCTGGCTTCCATTTTCCTAGTGCAGATTCTACTCAAGCTCCCCTTTAGGGAAATGCTGGTTGGGGCCCCCCTCTCCTCAAACCACAAATACTTACATCCGGGAAGCAGGGGGCACCTGGGTTCAGCCTCCTGGCTTGGTATAGGTGAGAGCTCAGTCTAAGGAATCCCCCTTTCTTGCTCCCACCTATATCCCACCTACCGCCACATCATCAGTTTTCCTGGCCGTTACCTCTTCTCCATGCCCAGGCAAGGGCTCTCTGAGGGCGATGCCCTTACCTGACTGTAGGGCATGGACTGGGATAATCCGGTGCCCGATGAATTTGCCTCCTTCTTCCAGTACTGCCACTCGTAGAGAGGCCAGTTCTGGCATCATGATCTGGGGAGAGGAGAACCAGTTTTGGTAAGGCAGCTCTAGGAGGCTGAGCTCTCCATCTTCACCATTTCCAAGATCCTAGAATCCTTAGGGTGGGAAGTGAAGAGGGGGATGGGGGTGGTGAGGAGGCAATAGTGCTTGTCAAGGGGGTCAGTGCCTGATGCTTGACACCCAATTCTGTATCACTGGAACATATTACCAGACCTGCCCAAATATATACTAAAAGAAACTTCTTGATTGGATGCTGATTCCTAATGCCTTTCAATCCCCGATTATCCAGTCTGGGCTCAACAACACCTCCATACTTCATAGGTCCTGCCTGTCTCATAGGGCTGATTTTATGACAGTCTGGAAAAGGCAAGGTGCCCTAGGCCCTGGGGAATGCCAGACCTATAACTAGGCTGAGATGACTGGAGCTTTGCGCCAGGACACCAAAATTTAGCAATCTCTTAATAGCACTTTGTCTCCAGCAGAATTGAAACCAACTTATAGCAACAAGTTAGCAAGAATAATTAATTAAAACAAAAAAGCACCAGATGGTCTACCTCCTCCCACAGTGGTTGTACCCTAGGTGAGCTCCTCTCTAACTCAGTCTCACCCTATTCCATGCCTCACCATAGAATCCTCAAGCTGAAGTTTCTGCCTGCAGAAGACAGGGTCTCAGCCTTCAGCTGCCCTGCTTCTGTCATGGGGCGTATCTTGGGATATCTCTTACCAAATAGAGCCTTATATCCCAGCTTCTCTCTTTCTATCTCCTTTAACTGAATTTCTCTTAAAAATTTGACTTGACTCAGGATGGAAAATGCTATCCACATCCAGAGAAAGAACTATGGAGTCTGAATGCAGATCAAAGAATACTATTTGCTCTTTTTTCCCCTTCTGTTTTGTTTTGTTTCTTCTTTCTTGCGGTTCCTCCTATTGGCTCTAATTCTTCCTTACAACATGACTAATGTGAAAATATGTATATGTAGAGCTCATATCAGATTGCACGCTCTCTTGAGGAGGGAGGAGAAGAGGGAGGGGAGAAAATTTAAAACTCAAAAGCTTATGGAAGTGAATGTTAAAAACTAAAAATTAATTAACTAATTAATTTAAAAAAAGAAAAAAATTTGACTTGAGAGCAAATTTTTCGAAGCCTGTTTTTGGTACCTATTCCAGGTACCAAAATTGCTAGTTATGTCTCTAGTTATATCTAATGGCAAAAGGGGTTCTGGTTGGTGTGCCAAGAGGCAGAGAACCCAGGGTGAGACTACCAGTTCCAACTGGGACCTCCCTCAGTGATCTCTATGATCCTACAATCCTATAATAGCCAAATGTGGGACCCCAGGTGTCCCCATGTTACCAAAAAGCACTGTATTCCGTGCTGGTAGAGAGGCACCCCACCAAACACACACACGTCTACCTACTGGGCTAACTTGGTTTCTCGAGGCCACAAAAGAGAAGAAGGGGAGGGAGGGAAAGGGCTAGAAAAGGCAGGAAAAGGCACCAGCCCTGTCAGCATCCACTCATCTCATTAATTTTCTCATCCTTGTGGATAGAATTCTGGGTCCTGTGGAGAAGCTTATGATCTCGACCCCTGAATACTTTCCTGTCCCATGCCCCACCCTGTCCCCCACCCATCCCACCTTCTCAAAGACAAAGGGGTCCTCTTTCCAGACAGGATTTATGGAGTTGGCATTGGGTGTCAGTTTGGTGCGGTAGCGTCTCTTGGGGTCTCCAGGCAAGCCGAACACCTCCACCTCCACGTAAGTCCGGACACTTCGTTCCGACAGAAACTGCCCAGAAATCACCTATTGACCAGGGATGTGGGAGGGTGGAGAAATGTCAGGAGGGATCCAGCCTCAGGTTCCCCCTTCCAGGACCTCTTCAGAGGGGGATTAGTAGTTCTCTACTACTAAGGTTTCATATAAGCACTATAAGGAAACCTGTGGGGGATGGAGAGGGTCCCTCCATTGTGTTCTGGCCATGTGGAAGAGACAATGTTGTTTAGTGGTTAGGATTAAAATTTGGGACTCTGGGATTCTCAATACTAGAGATGATCTGCCTCAGTTTCCCCTGTGGTCAATGTGGTTGAGTATCTTTAGTAGTACAGGGCACCTGCTGCCCCCACACAGTCCCTACTTATTTCATCCATTCCCCCTTCCCTCCATCTCAGCCTCCAGCCCTCCCCCTCTGTTTCCATAGGGATTAAGAGGCAGCCTCCAGTGCTGAGGAGGAGGCAGTTTCCAAGGTAACCTGCTACTGCAGGAAGCTGCTTGGAGCTGCTTGGGTTGAAGTTTTCTGGGATCTCAGGAGAGGGGGAGGAGGGGAAGAAGGAGTACCACCTCCCCCCAACTCCCCTAGACTCATCACCCAAGGAATTAGTCCCACCCACTCTCTGGAGCCACAGCTCCCTTGGGGCTACCCATCCCTCCTCTATAGCTTCCCACCCCCACCAGGCCCTGGCTCCTCCCAGGGTGCTTGCCGTGATGGAAAGAGTTGTGGCCACCACCACATCGATACGGTCCACAGAGAAGGGGTCGAATTGCTTGTCCGGCCGGCGCATGAACTCATGCTTGAGAAGGTAGCCAGTCTGCCCATTGAACTCAAACAGTGCCATGTTCTGCTGCATTGGCATATCTAAGGGCATGGGAGGACAGATGGCAAAGCACACTCTGACCACCAAGCATGGGCCAGACAGCAGGGGCAGTGACAAGCAGAGCGGGCAAGCAAGATCTTCGGTTTCTAGTTCCATTTCTAACTTATTAAGCAGGTCTTTGACCCTTCCTCTCTCCATTCCAGTGGATTTCTGTCCTTCCTTCCTCAAATGGGTGAAAGGAATGAAGGGACACAGAGTGACACACATCAGGAGGTTACTCCTCTACTCCTTCTCCTTAAAAGAAGAGCCACAGATACACAACAGTTTTGTGCACAAGATTCAGCCTTTACTAGGGTTGGGGCAGGAAAAGAAGAATAATAAAACAGGCAGGGGAGAAGGAGGCATACCCAGATACAGCCCAACATATGCGTGCGTGCGCGCGCACACACACACACACACACACACATACACCCAACATATGTAATTATAGACACATACTCACTCAAGCTTAAACATACACGCACACACACCCCACCCCCTAAAAATACACATATGTAGACAATCACTACAAACAGGGTATAGGCTAGTGCTGGGGGTAGGGGAAGGAGGAGAAGGAGGCTGGTGGTAGGTGCTGGGGAAAGAAATGCTCATGCCACAAGCATCTAGGATCTGTACCCACCCATGGTCTGGAAATTGAGGGCAACCATTTGGCAGCCTGCATTCCAGAACATCTGGGGAGAGTAGTTAGATGAGTCCATTCGGGTGCCCTTGGGGTAGATCCGACTCATCTGACGCTTATTGTAGCTGTCCTGTGTATAGGATCCTGGCCAGCAGTCAAAGGGACCCCCAACCAGCACCCTGGCCCTTCTCTCCCACAGGGACCTTTTCCCAGCTGTCCCAATGACACCCTCCCCTGCAAAAAAAATCTAGGTGTCCTCCCAATCTGTAACTTCAAGGATACTCCACAAACTGCACAGGGGACTTGGTGAGCAGGTCATAAGCCTTCAACTCCGTGAAGGAAGAGATGACGTAACTCCGATTCTTCTCTGGGGTGGGAAAGAAATTGACAGCAGGTTCCTTTGGTCCCTGGCCCCCTGCTGAAAGTCTACACCTCAGAGACCCTTTGGCTGACATGAGGCTGCCCTGTTCTGTTAGCTGTACCCCTCACCCCCAAGGCCTGGAGGCAGCATGGTAAAGGGAGATGAATTTGGAGTTAGAGAAATGGGCTTGAATTCCAATTCAGACACTTATTCATTAGCTGTATCAAGTCAGACAAGTCACCTTGACTTCTCTGGGCCCCATTTCCCTGCCTCTGTAAAATGAGTGAGTTAGAAGAGTCTCTATGGTCTCCTTCTGGCTATGATCCTATGAAAATGGAGAGAAGTGGCAACATGAACCAACTATTAAATTGGGAAGGAATAAGGAAAGGGATAAGCATTTATTAATCACTTACTATGTGCCGAACACTGTGCTAAGCACTTTACAGGTATTATCACATTTGATCCTCAAACGAGCCTAGAAGGTAGGTACTACTATGAAGTCCATTTTACAGTTGAGGAAACTGAGGCATACAGAGGTTAAGTGACTTGACCAGGCTCACACAGCTAATAAGTGTTTCTGAGGTTAGATGAACTCGGCTCTTCTTTTTTTTTTATTTTATTTTTCTTTTTTGATGAAGCAGTGGGGTTAAGTGACTTGCCCAGGGGTCACACAGCTAGCGAGTGTTTTATGTCTGAGGCTGGATTTGAACTCAGGTACTCCTGACTCCAAGGCCAGAGCTCTATCCACTGTGCCACCTAGCTGCCCCTGAACTCAGCTCTTCTTAATTCCAGTCCCAGTGCTCTAACCATTCCAATAACTAATTGCCTCTGTGCGTTAACAAATGGTTTCTTTTAGCTCCCTTCCAGCTGCTATGCCTCGTAGTGGATAGACTGCCAAACCTGGAGTCAAGATGTCAAGTCAAATCATGTCAACAAGCATTTACTAGGTGCCTACTATACATCAGGGACTGTGCTAAGGGCTGGAAGACTTGTGTTTGAATCCTGCCTCAAATGTTTTCTAACTTTGTGATCCTAGGCAAATCACTTAACATCTTTTAGCCTCAGTTTCTTCATCTGTAAAATGGGGGTAACACCAACCTCCCAGGGGTGTTGTGAGGATCAAACCAAAAACATTAACATAGTGCTTTGCGAACCTTTAATATGGTAGTTTTTATTATTGTTGTTATTACTATCCCATGATCCTATGACTTATGGGAAAGTATATATTTATATATGTGTAGGTATACAGAGGAAGGATGGAGTATGCATGCATGCAGATGTCCCCATGCAGGTTGCCTTGGCTCCCCTCCTTTGAGAGATCACAGCACCTCAGGAAGTCAGCAGAAAACCTGGAGTTTTGGTGTAGCAACTTTCCATCAACCCATCAGTCCCTAAAGGAGTCTTGCTATTGTTATAGTCTTGCTGTGGTCCTAGCAGATCCTACAGGGGCCCTGAGTCAAGGCCTAGAAGTGGGTGATTTTTTTTTTAATAAATAGGGCCTATCCTGATGCTGAGAAGCTGCAGAGGCCATCTAGATTAGCATAAGGGGGTTCTGGGTAGGAAAGGCAGAGAGCTCAGAGATATCATCACTCAGTTAAGTTTCTTACCAAAATTCATAGTCCGAGCATTTATGGATAGTACTGGGCACGGCCATTGGGCAAATTAAAAGGAAGGTGGAGGAGTGCTCTCAAGCATGATCTGTCCTGTCCCTTGATGTAGTGCTCCTCCCTGTGGTTTTCTTCACATCCCAACTACTCTGATCTTCCAGCCCAGGGGCCTCTCCCTTCCCAGCCTCCTTATTGTACACATATCGCCCTCTCAAAGCCCCTCTCCCATTTCCCTAGCCCTATCCCACTGTCTCTCACGGGAGGAGAACTCGAAGGAGATGAACTTGGTGGGCTGGATGTAGTTGACCAGACTAGACATCTCTTCATATGCTGTCACTTCCAGGCCAGCTGTGCCCTGGTGAAAAGATAGGGATTGGAGGAAGATACAGAGAGGGAAGCAACAAGCTAAGAAGGGGACAGGGAAGGCTCCCAGGAAGCAAAGATACAGGCTTATAGAACTCAGTTGTCCTGAAACCCCTGTTTCATCTCTCCAGACTCTACTGCCTGGGAGTTGAAAGCACAGGCATCCTAGGAGCTGGTTCCTATGGAGGAGCCAGAAGAAGAACAAATAGCCTCTGGGTTAGATGGGGAGAGGGGAGGGCCTTTCTGCTACCTCCTCATTCATACCTCATCCGACTGCATCTTCTTTATTTCCTCTTCATCCAGGTTACCTGATTCTTCCTCTTCTTCTTCTTCCTCTTCCTCCAGCTCAGCCTCTTCTTCACCAACCCACACTGTTATAAGAATATCTTAAATTTATATAGGACTTTAAAGTTTGCAAAGAGCTATACATACATGATCTCATTTGATCCTCACTGACAACCTGAGAGGGGCTATAATTCGGTCCATTTTACAGATGAGGAAACTGGAATTCAAGGAGGCTAAATGACTTGCCCAAGGTCACAAAGCTAGCTAGCTTGCTCTCAAGTCAAGACTTATACCAAGACCTCATACTGAGATCTAGATTCCAAATCTAGTGGCTTCCCAACATAACTTCATCAGTATCTTCTTTGGGTAAACCCACCCCCCACCCTGCCTTGATTAACAGTAATCCCATTTCATAATACCCCTTGCCCCAGAACAGGCCCCTATTTGCCAAAGACAGAGACCAGTCCCTCCTGTCTCTGAATCCCCTCCATCACCCTTTTTGACTCCACATCCTCCTATCCCAACTCCAGTGATACAGCCTGCCCCTTTAAGCCTTCTCACCTGTGTCCTCACCCATGGCTGGACTGGGCTGGCTGAAGCCCTCTGTCTCCTCACACAGTTCCTTCTTGGGTGGAACAGGAGCTGGGGCCTGATTCTTCTTATTCTTGATGAGGATCTTGCCCAGAAGGTCCTGGGGACTGGGAAGGGGAACCCCTGGCTTCACCTGAGGGATATGGAGGGGAGAGTGTCAGAGCTAAGTGTCACCTATCTTCCCCTGCCGACAACTAGGATTGAACACTGGACCTGGAGTTAGGCAGATCTGAGTTCAAATCTAGCCTCAGACATATACTAGCTGTATGACCCTGGGCAAGTCACTTATCTTTTGTCTGCCTCAGTTTCCTCATCTGTAGAATGGGGATAATATAATAGCAACTACTTCTCAGGGTTGTTATGAGAATAAAATGAGATAATATTTGCAAAGCACTTTGCAAACCTTAAAGCAACCTAAATGCTATATAACCTAAGCTAGCTAATCTCCTCTAGGACATATAGAACAGGATCCAAGCCCCAGATTCTCCTATAGAGCTCGGGCATCTTTGTGTCAACCATGATCTGGTCTCCCAATTGCTCTCTTGCCCTACAATAATTAATTGATCAACAAGCTTTCATGAAGTGCCTACTATGTGCCCGGTACCTTTATATATGTTGTTGATACAAATACAAAGAATGAAGCAATCTCTATTCTCAAGAACTGCATACTACTTACAGGGAACCTGTCCAGGGGCTCAGTGAGGAGCATGTCCCCAAATATGGTACGGCAATATTCTGCCATCTTGGCCTGTTGTCGGGGCCTGCAAGGAATAGGTTGTAAGGAAAGAGTGAAAGGAACAGAGTGCCCATCAATTGAGCAATGGCACAACAAATTATGGCATAGGAATATATTACAATACTATTATGCTGCAAGAAATGATGAAAGGGATGGCTTCTGAAAAATCTGGGAAGACTTATATGAACTGATTCAGCGTGAAGTGAGCAAAACCAGCACAATTTAGACAATAACATTTTAAAGACAAACAATTGCAAAAAGTTTAAGAATTTTCATCAATGCAGTGACCAGCCCTTCATCTAAAAGTTGAGGTATACCGCCCACCTCCTGATAAAGTTTTGCCATCTACCATAAAAGGTGATGGACTCAAGGTGAAGAATGAGGCATACATTTTTAGACATGGCCAATGTGAGAAACTGTTTTGCTTGACTGTGCATATTTGTTCTAAGGACTTTCTTTTTCTGTTTCTTTTTTTTTTCCCGAGGAAGGTGGGAGGGAGAGAAAATAAATGCTTTTTAATTGAAAAAAAATTTTTTTTAATTTAAGAGTTAAAGACTCAAGCAAAAAGAGTGAGGGGAACAGTAAGTGGCCTGTGGACCTCAGAGAGAGGCTTCATCCCATGCCCCACCTGATCTAATGGAGAAGGTGTTCCCCCAAGCCATTTTTCCCCTTCCGTTTAAAGTGATCACTAGGATAGGTTGGTCCAAAGGCTTCAAGGAGGCCTGGATGACAGGGCCTAGGGGCTTATGGAAGTTATGAGATCTTGGAAAAACTGAAGAGAGCTCCAAGGAGGCTGGAAATAGAAGTGGAAGATCAGAGATGGAGGCGAGAGGCTGGGGATACAGGGAGGATACTCACGAGTCTACATGGTTTTCAAAGGACAGGATGACAGGGTAGAGTGAGGTCTTGAAGGCACTCTCAGCAATGGCCTCCACTGCATCCTGGAGCAGGGGAATGTGTGGAGATTAGAACTCCAGGGATGCCCTTCACACAGCCCCTTTCCCCTCCCACCCCATAATCTACTCCCTCTTACCCCACTACCAGGCCACCTTTCCTTAAAGTTCTAGATCTCAGTTCTTCTCTGAGCCCTCCCAGCTCTTAGTCGTAGCCCTTCCCAGATCTCTGATCTCCCTTTCTCCTTCTCCTTCCCAATCATCCCACCTTGAATAAAATGTCTGTGGTCATGGTGAAACCATGGGTAATGATGGGTTCTTCCTCAGGAGGTTTCCCTTTCCAGCAGTCAAGTTCCACACAGCGACAGCCAGAGAGCAAGACCTGTCTGTACATCTCTGAGGACGAGGGTCCTGAGAACTGGCCAGCTGAACAAGGGTATGGGGTAGGATCACTCAGGGTTAAGACCAGACATACAGTTTTTTAAAGCTGAAAGTCCATTAAATCTATCTATCCCCTTCATTTTACAGATGAGGAAACTGAGGCACAGAAAGGTATCACACAGCTACCAAATGTCTGAGTCTCTCCTAGTGCTCTGGACTGTCAGTCGCTTTCATTTTATCACACTTTTAGTGTTTAAAATAGACCAAAGAGCAAAACATATTTTAAAAAGGACATAATCTTATTGTCTGAGATGGTATCTGAACTGAGGTCTACCCTGACACTAAGTTCAGTGCCCCATCCACCACTCCAAGATTCCAATCTTTTTTTTTTATTTTTTTTTTTTGTTTTTAGGCAATTGGGGTTAAGTGACTTGCCCAGGGTCACACAGCTAGTAAGTGTCAAGTGTTTGGTCTGAGGCCGGATTTAAACTCAGGTCCTCCTGACTTCAGGGCTGGTGCTCTATCCACTGCGCCACCTAGCTGCCCCTAAGATTCCACTCTTGATTGAAGATAAAGCATCCTGTCCTCTAGCAGCATCCTCAACCCTTAGAGCTAGAAGTGGGGAAGAGGAACGGAAATATTACAAGGGATGAGATTCTTAGTCAAAGGTCAAAGATGGAGGTAAAGTCCCAGGGTGGGCAGATGAATTGACTCTCTTGAGGCAGAGCCATAACTAGCCATCTTTTTGTGCCTGCAGAAAGCACTCCTCATTTGAGGTGAGTGTGTGATCGTTTTCCACTGTTTAAGGACCTTCTACATGTAGCACCCCAGGGCAAAGCCCATTCACTTCACTGTAGTTATAGGAGAGCTACCCAAATCTCCTTACTCCTCACCTGTCAGGTAGGTGTTGTGGGATGAGTTGATGAAGTAGTGATTCAGAGGCTGACTCATGTCCTGGTGCAGTATCAGCTTGTCCTGGGCCACTATGCTGTTCTCAGGACCACACAGGAACCAAACCATCCCCTCGGGGGATAGCTGACCTGAGGAAGAAAGAATGGCAAAGAAGAATGGCAAAAAATTTGCCCTTATTTGGGAGAAAGTGTAGGAGCAGGGTCAGGGAGACAGGATGCTAAGGTTTGTTCCTCACTGCTAGACAAAAAAGAGGGTGCCTGGAGATCTTACTGAGTTAGGGAAGGAGGGGAGAAGGTCTGGCTATAGCTCAGAGAGAATGACTGGAAAAGTGCCTGGAGCCACAAGATGGAAGGAAAATAGAGTTGGAAACCTAGAGAGGTGGGAAATTCAGGAATATAAGAGGGTAAAAAGAGGGCTAAGGGTAAAAAAAAAAGTTGTAGGTAAGGGCTTGGAGCCTCACCCCTCTGGATGTTGATGCCACTGGGCTCATACTTTTCAATGAGGCATTGTACTTGGTCAGGTCGAGCTGGTGGGAAGAGTAGGGAGTTGAGTCGGGCATCCCGTTGTTTTTGGTTAATGAACTTGGTCAGATGCTCCTTGGTCATGTAAGGCTTTGCTTTGGCATGGCTGCAGTCCAAGTAGAGAAGGAAAATCTTAGATTTAGAATCTCCAGGGATTCTGGGGTGGCTCTAATAAGCTCCTGACCCATTGCAGTGATAGCTACTATAGAAGGCCAGAGCCTGCTGATCCTGCCTCTAATAGCCCAATCCCCTGATCCCAACCCATTCTCACCTCAACCCAACCCTAACCCTCCTCCCATAAACCATGTCCTAGACTCATACCCAGGAAACTCACTGAGAGGTGAAGATCTCATCAATTTCAGGTCGGGGACATAGATTCATGAGAAAACTCCTGTAGACAGGCTCAGGGAAATCCTCAGGGTTGATGGAATCATTCTAGGGTTGGGAAGAGGAGGGGACAAATGTGTTATTAACAAACTCTCTACCAATTCCTCCCCTTCAGATACCTCCCTGTCCAAAGAGTTATAAAATTGTGTATACCCTTTGACCCAGCAATACCACTACTAGGTCTGTTTCCCAAGGTGATCAGGAAAAAAGGAAAAGAATCTACATGTTCTAAAATGTTTACAGCAACTGTCTTTGTGGTGGCAAAGAAGTAGAAATTGAGGGGATGCCCATCAATTGAGAAATGGCTAAACAAGTTGTGGTATATGATTGTAATGGAATACTACTGTGCTATACTGGCTAGACTGGTAATTCTCTAAGTTTTTGATCTCTTTACCTACTTAAAAAAGAACTTTTGTTTCTATGGGTTATATCTATTAATATTTAGCATATTAAAAATGATGAACTGTTGATTTTAGAAAAAAACAGGAAATAATGAAGAGTGAAATGAGCAGAAACAATTATATATATATGTATATATATATCAGCAATACTGTTTGAAGAATAATGGTGAATAACTAAGATATTCTGAGCATTATAAATACTCAAATCAACTACAAAGGATCTATGAAGGTACTATGCACCTCCAGAGAAAGAATTGATAAATAGAAGTATGTATAGTATGGCTTTATATACACACACACACACACACACACACACACACACACACACACATATCTGTGTCTAATCATGGCCTTCCCTAGTGCAGGATAGGGAAGAAGCGAGGAAAAAAATTAAAACTACACAGCAGAGAACAAAGGAAAACTCAGAAGGAAGCATAGAAAAGCAAGGTAGCTTTGAAAACAATGTGTAATATTTATTACATAGTTTTTCGAAAAAAGTAAAAAATGTGAAATGGAGATTCATGGTTTCATATTGAATCCTCTCTGTGTTGTGTTGGGTACATGGAAATGTTTTTTTTTTTGTCTTTTTATATTTAAGCTTAAAATGAATAAAAAAATTTTTTTCTTAAAGACAGAAAGAACCCACCTCCACCCACGATCAGTGTAGAAAAGATGTCAGGTACCAGACACCAGGGACCAATTGAGGTTGGGGGAAGAGGCTTCCATTTCCAATCAATTAACAAATAACTATTGAGCACCTACTATGTTTGAGGCTCTATGCTAGTTTCTGTAGAATAAAGATAACTATTATCTCATTTGATCCTCACAACAACCCTGGGAGGTAGATGTTGTTGTTCCCATTTCACAGATGAGGAAACTGAAGCTGAGAGAGCCAGTGTCACGGTCAAAGAGATCTGGGTTCACATGCTTGTGACATACTGGCAGTGAAGAAGTCACTTTATCTCATCAAGAACCCTCTCAGCTAGTATTTCCTATCATTCAAACAATAATCACTTTTAAATACCTACTGTGTGCCAGAGCCTGGCACACAGTATACAAGGGTACAAATACAAAGAATACACATTACAAAGTAGTTGCAGATCTGTACTGGTGAAGAGAGTTCCCTCATCAAGTGTTCTCTATGCCAGGGAAACCACAGGTTCAATCCAAAAAATGAAAAATTTTTTAAAAGAACGTCAGAGCTGAAAGAGACCTAAAAGATTGGCTAGACTGGTAATTCTCTAAGTTTTTGATCTCTTTACCTACTTAAAAAAGAACTTTTGTTTCTATGGGTTATATCTATTAATATTTAGCATATTAGAAATTATATGTCTTTGTTGTTCAGATGTATCCGACTCTTCATGACCCATTTTGGGGGTTTCTTGGCAAAGATACTGGAATGGCTTGCCATTTCTTCTCCAGCTGATTTTACAGATGAGGAAACTGAGGCAAAGAGGGTTAAGTGACTTTCCCAGGGTCACACAACTAGTAAGTATCTGAGGCTGGATTTGAACTCAAGTCTTCCTGACTTCCAGCCCAGTACTCTAACCACCGAGCCACCAGCAGCCTTAAAATATCATAGTATCATGAAAATAGTTTGGCCTTGTGAACTCCTTGAAAGTGCCTTGAGGACCCCAGAAGCCTCTGACCACACTTTGAGGACCACACTTCGGTCTAGACCACAGCTCCCAAACACAAGGCCTTCAAGTGTCTCACGACATTCCCCCATTCAGCCTGAACCAGATTAAAATGTAATTCCTGCCTCGTTCAGGTGTGTTGATTTATTAACAAATAAAGAGATATGTAAACACGTGGTTTTTTAAGTCAATATGTGGTCCACAGGATCCTTGTGTGTGGTTTAGTGCCCTCCCCCACCCTGTTTTTCTTTCAATCTGACATCATGAATCTGGACCAAGTCCTCTTATCACACGATAAGTAAGGACTGACAAACCACAGTTAGCTGGACTTTGATCCCTAGCTCCCTAGACCCTTCTCTTCCACCCCTACTACTTGAAAACAGAACTCAAAGCACGTTTCTTAGTGATGGTAGGATTGGGAGGGTCATCTTTGTATAAATGGGAACACGGCTAGGAAGGATAGACTATTGATAGACTATTGAACCAGAGCCAGGAAGCTCTGCACTCTTTCAACCTCAGTTTCCTCATCTGTAAATGGGGCTAATAATAGCGTCTATCTCACAAGGTTGTTGTGAGGCTCAAATAAGATATGGAAAGTGCATTGCAAATTTTAAAGCACTATCTTTTAAAAATATCATCATTATTTATAAGAAATGAGAACTGAGAATTGGTAGAGAAAGATGAGGATGTTCTTGGTAAATTTACTTGAAGAAAGTTGGCTCCAGTGCTCTCCCTAGGCTTCCCAATTTGAGGAGTCCACTGACCACCCAGCCACCCCTGGGGGAGGGCAAGAGGAGGTGAGGATGGGGGTGGGGTAAGAGAGGATGATATGGGGAGAGGAGTGCATACTCACTTTGCCCTTGGGAAGGTGACAGGCACTGAGGGCAGCCTCTACTCGTTTCCGGTCTGCAGGAAACATCTGAAAAAAACTGAAGGGGGAAGAGGCAGGGGAATGGTACAAGTTGAGGGTCAGGAGAAGGAGGAGAGTAGAGCAGAGGAAGAAGGAGAGGGGTCGGGGGAGGTGCCAGCCCAAGATGGGGGTGGGAATTTCTTGCACTCACTTCTTCACAGGGATCTTTCCTTCTGGATTGAGCTGCATCTTGAGCTTTACTAGGCTGGGGTGAGAGGAGATCAGCCTGGTGAGGTCCCGCTTCCTCATCCCTCCTTCCTCCTCTCCCTCCCCCAACACACACACACACACACACACACACACACACACACACACACTCCCCCCGAGACTTAGCAAAAGCCTGGTGGGGAAGGTGGGAGCAATTATAAACAGTGGGGAAAGGAGAGACAATCACTCACATTTTATCCAGGAACCTGCTCCGAGGGGCATTGGCTGCTAATGGGTTCTTAGCTAAGGCCAGAACATCTTCAGCCCAGTCCTATGAGAGGCAAGAGATGAGAGAGCAGGGTCCAGGATTCATCATAACCCCAATGGGATGCTTCTTCCTCTGCCCGTTCCTCTGAACTGAGGCCAAGAGCTCTCTCTAGGATTACCCAAGAGATGGAAGGCTCCCCTCCCCTCTGTAACCTCAGACCTTTCCCCACTGCTTTTTTTTTTTAAGGCAATCAGGGTTAAGTGACTTGGCCAGAGTCACACAGCTAGTAAGTGTCTGAGCCTGAATTTGAACTAAGATCTTCCTGACTACAGGGCTGGAGCTTTATCTACTTCTGCACCTAGTTGCCCCTCCTCACCACTTCTTGAAACCTCCCTCCCCCCCACCCCCCCCCACACACACACATACACACACACACACCTTGCTGACATTCTCTTTGTAGGAGACAAAGTTATGGAAGGTCAGGTCCACCATGTCTGGGCCAGACACCACAGTCAGCGTCTTCAGCAGGAAGGTGTTGTCAGGGAAATCCAAGTTGAAAACCTCCCGAAGTTTCTGGGTCTGCAATAGGCCCACTCTCAGGAGAGGTTTGAAGTGTAGGGGCAATCTCGAGGGAGGGGACAAGCTAGGGAGCTGTTCCCCCACCCCAAACCCTAGCAACATGTCACTCTCAGCTCCTTCTCTCTCAAGGACTTCATTTGCAGGAGATATCATGCCCAGTTCGGGGGAGGCCCCAAACAACACAGCCTTCCAGCCCTTCCTGAAAACCATCTCCCTGCTCCCTCCTTCCTATCCTATAATTATCAGAAGAGAGGAGGGAAGGGAGAGCTGAGACATCCAGTGTGGGAGAGGCTTGCCTAGGCTGTCCAGCTACCTTTGGGAGTCCTGCTTCCCAATCCCCCGGGGACCAAGCTCACTACTGCTCCCCCTCCCCCAAATTTCCCCTACCAACCTCACCTGCCCAGCTCAAGCAAGGCTTCCTACAAATATAAGGTATATAGGCATGCGGTTCGTGTAGGCAGCAACTAAGGGACTCTGGTCAAGTCTGGGAAGCTCCAGGGGCAGGGCGTTTTGCAGAGATGTGTTCTAGGTAAAACTGGCCAGTTCTTTTCCCTCCCTGACCTTCTCTCCCAGCTCCTTGTCCTTTTTTTGTTTGTTTGTTTTTGGTGAGAGGAAGAGAGGACAACATCTCCCCAAAGGCTTGAGGAAAGGTCAAGGACCCAAGGGATGGTATAGGCAGCAGAGAATATATCCCTTTAGCCCCGGTTCTAGTTCTTGCCACCTAGCCCTGGGAAATTCCCTTGCCCAGAATTCAGGTATCCCAGCCCCAACCTGCCCCAGGGTGGGCTCCCCACCCACCCCTTGTTCTATGCCCTTGGGTCAATTTCTTCTCTGTGCCTTAGCTTTGGGCCCTTCCCTTCCTCTTCTCCTGCCCCAGCAGGAACCACACAGCCCTATTTACCTTGGGCATCTTAGCAAACTTTCCAAACCGAGTGTCCCGAATGCTAGTGATGTCCAGGAACTCCATCTCCTGAGATAGTCAGGGTTTGAGAAGAAGATAGAGATAGAAAGGAGAAAGATGGAGTTAAGATGAGAGAGTGAGGTTATCACAGCCCCTAAAAATGATCTGTCCAAATACACCCTCTAGATAAGGCAAGTCTGACTATAGATGTCCAAACCCCTTTTTTTCCTAGAAAAAGATGATATAGTTAGAGTGGACCATGGAACAGCCTTCCTGGTTCCGAATTTCTTCCCTTTTCTTCTTCTTAATAGCCATTTGATCAGTCCTGTCTTGCCCCACTCCTCTGTCCTTCCCTTTAGAGCTGACTAAAGGGCAAAACTCTGACTCAGAGGTTAGAAGATTCAGGATCTGCCCCAATCTCAGTCACTAAATAGTTGTGTTACCTTGGACAAGCTATTTTCCTGTCTGGACCTCAGCATCTTCTGTAAAAATGAGAGGCTCGTACTCCAAATGATTTTTATTGGCTCTTCCAACTCTAAAATCTTACTGTTTGATTTGTGTGGGGACCTCAGAAAAGACAACCACCCCTTGGAACTCTGGACTCTGTCCTGGCTTCACTTGTCCTCCCTTCAATCATTCTAGTGGGTCCTGGCTCAGACCTTCCCTTTGGGGACTTTTAGGTTTTCCCAACACATTTTGTCTGTCAGATCACCCCAAACCTATTCCTCTTCTTTCCAAGAATGCTAGGGTCCAGGCAGTGGGAGCAACTACACAGAAGATATGTGATACCTCAGGGAGCGTGTGTGTGTGTGTGTGTGTGTGTGTGTGTGTGTGTGTGTGTGTGTG